TGTTTGTCCCAAGTAGCAGTGACTAGACCCACAGGCATGAAAATCAGCCTTAGGAATAATGTGTCCCAAATATTAAAATGACTAGAGAGAAGAAAGTAGAAGAAGCAATAAATACTGCCTCAGCTTTCTGGGGCTTGAGGCCCCATTTGTCACTATAATCAATGTCCTCCTGAAGCTTGTTTTTGCTCCCTCAGTTTTAAGAATTGAGAAATACCACATTGATTGCCCCTGATGTTTTGATACAGAAGCCTAGTGTTCCTGGTAACACCACTAAGTTTGGTAGCCAAGGTACACATTCCTTCTCTTTTGAACTTGACCTCACTTGTTAGTCTATAGCCCACTAATTCCTCTTCCCTCCTTTTAGTAAACCTCTGAATTTTTGAGAATATTGTCCTCTGTCCTCTTTTATATGTGTTCTATCCTGTTTATATCCTGAGACTTTGACACCAGATGTAGATATTTATCTGGAGTTAGAAAGAAAATTTGTTTTTCTGTACCTCATGCCTACCTGATGTCTAATGGACTATTTCTCTTTGAGGCTGACTTTCTCTGGGTCATTGCTTAGAGCAGCTCTGTTGTCGTGTTTCTGGATTCCCTTCCCCTTCTCCATACGTATTGGTCTTATATATTCTTGCCAATTTTTGTGGCACATGCCACATAAAAAGCAAGAGACTCTTAACCCTGATATTGACAAGTACTGCCTTTTTAAATTCTGAAAGGCTTTTACCAATCTTTAACTGTTCTCTGCTCCTCCATATAGCTTTTAAATGTGGGCTTTTGTGAAGACCACTTTGAAACAAGGGGCATTGAAACCTTATTTGGGTACTGCCAAAATAGGTAGTTTTGAAACAAATGAAGGAAATAGTATGATCCACTCTACATCTTCATTGGCAGTTGTGCCCTCAGAGCCCTTTCAGTAGATGAGGATTGTCAGGGAGGAGAAATGAAGAATCTATGTTAATTTCTGGTGAGTAAGACTTGGGAAATGTTCGGCAATGATGAAAGAAATAAACAACTCTCCGTTAGATTGATGTTTCCAGTTGTTCATTGACTCCGGCTTGCTACTTGATTCCTTGTTGATGCAGTGTATGGGGATAAGAAGATGGCTAGAGATGGGAATTAGTTGGACATAAGTACCAAATGCAGTTGTCTCAGTCATTCTTTAGCTCCTAAAATATGCTGGTTAAAATGGATAATTTGAGATTAAAGTGAATCGGTATAGGAAACTTCCCCAGTCTCATCTAGAGCCCTTGCAGGCACTCCTGTTTGTTTGTTTGCTTGTTTGTTTGTTTCCCATGGCCAGTGATCAGCAGGACTCAGTATAGACTATCCTTATCACAGTATCGAGTTTTTAAGTTTTTTTTTTTAAAATTCAGTAGAATAACATAAACTTAAGTTTGACAATATCAGGTATGGCTAGGTTTTGGAGCAGTGTGAACTCTAATGCATAGTTTGGAATGTAAATTGGTACAATCACTTTGAAAACAATTTGGTAGTATCCAGCAAAGTTGAAGATATGCCCTAAAACTTAGTTTCACTTCTAGGTATATACAGAGAAATTCCTCTTGCTATAAACAAGAATGATTATTGTAGTACGGTTTATAACAGACACTGGAAACAACGTGTAGCAGAGATTAGTAGCTGTCCACCAAAATCTGCTCTCAACTTGCAAAACTATAGGATTATAGGACAAATGGCTAGATCACATTTCCCAGCCCTTCATCCCCCTTTCCTAGGGAAGGAGTAGCCAACTAACTTTTCTCCAGTGGAATGTGAGTAGAAGTGATTTGTGTCAATTCCATGCTAGACCTTTTAAGTGAGTGAGTGTACCCCCATGCTTTCTTTCCTATTTAGTTTAGATGCAGATGATGATGGGGCTCTAGGGGATGGTAGAGCACAAAACGGAAGATTGTTGATTCCCTGAATCACCCCATGAAGGACCCCAACCAAGAACATCTATCAGACTATTATGTGAGCAAGAAATAAGTGTCTGTTATTTGAGATGTACATTCTTGAGTCTGTTAGCCTTCTCTAATACATAACCTAATTGTCCATCATTGGGAGAAAGGATCAATTGTGACATAATTCTTTAGTAGAATACTTTACTGCTGTGAAATTAACTAGAGCTTATATCATGAATACATCTTACAAATAATGTCTAGGAGAAGCAAGTTGTGTACCATTTATATAAGGTTTAAAAACATGCAAAATGCTCTATGGATATATAAATATAAATGTACATACAAATATTTATATATTTATATTATAAACATAGTATGAAAACATGCACAGGAATGATAAACACCAAATTTAGTATAGTGCTTCTGGGATCCAGAAAGACTACAAGTGAATTTGAAAATTCTTATTTCCTTAAGGTAGTGAATTTTTTAGTTATAGTTTTATATTTTTTGTATGTATGAAATATTTTTTTAGAAATCAGTTCACACGAAAGAAAAATATATTCTGCTTATCTCCTTCTTCAAAGAAAAGCTTTAGAAAGTTTTCCTTCTGCTTCATGTCAACCTTTGATTTTCCCCTCATCCCATAGTCTGTTCCCCCGCCCACCAGATTTTCTCTTCACTTCCGTGTCTATCATCCCAGTTGGAACCATCACCTCTTGTCTAGACTACAGTAGCTTCTTAGTTTCCTTCTGCTTTTTACCGGGTTGGACACTCCACATAACAGGTTGTAGTGAGCTTTTACAATTGTAAATCAGACTTCATTCACCTGCTGAAAGCCTAATGATTTCCCAGTGCACTGAGAATACCCTTTGTGCTCCTACTGCTGACCTTTAGGCCTCATTTTCCTGTTCCACCCATGTTCTCTGCCCATTCCCCAACTACATGTTAGCCACACAGACCTTTCTGTTCCTTGAACCTACCAAGCTCATTCCCATCTCAGGGCCTTTGTATTCACTGTTCCTCTGCCTGGAATGATTTTTTTACCCAGTTTTTGCATTGTATGCTTCATTTTATCAGTCAAGTCTCAACCTAAGTTTCACCTCAGAGGTCTTTTCCACCTAAACACACTTTCTCTAACATCACTCTGTTTAATTTTCTTCATAGCAAAGCAGACAAAAATTAGATTGAGATCTTAGTTGGCCAACCTGCTGCTCACTTACTGGTAAGATTTCAAAGTACCTTTATCAGATGATTCATCCTTTAAAGTCTTCGAGCTCTCAGAGGCCTTACTCTGACAGGGATAGCCATAAGCAGTACATCAGATCCATTGTCTGGGATGATGGGAATTGAAACTAAACTGAGATGAGATGGAAGTTATCCACTCCCGAATTAGATTATTGGGACAGCAATGGCGGGAGCGGAATTAGTAGCAGAATAATAAGATTCTAAGATCTTATCAGCCTTAGGTATATATTTTCCTAGGGTTTTTGTATCCACAGAGTATAGGGCTTCAAATTTGTCTTGGATACCGTGTTTTTCAAGTGCAGTCTTTCTGTATTTTTAGCTCATGAATTGAAGTATTCAAGTTAAGGTACCTGCATTCTTACCGAAAGTCCTGTTTTCAGCATTAAAACTGCAGTTTTATTATTTGCATCTTAGTATGAACAAGACATGCAGAAGTGGTAAAGTGATGAAGTAGAAAATACATTACATTGAAACAATAATAAAACCAATAGATAAATTATAATCTAAGCAGGCTTTTGTTTTTTAATAACAAAAAGTTTAATAAACTGCATATTTTACAGAAAATTGTTAAAGTTAGAAGTTAAAGGCACATTGGGGGATGGTCCTTTTTAAATCTAATTTAAAGGAATCTGCATATGAATAAAACAAAATTCAAGAAAATTACTTTGACATTCTTCATCACTGACAATTTCTAGAAAACATAAAGATTATATTTTCTCATAGAGGAGCGATGTTAAGGGGTTATATTCCTGTACCAGTATTCAGCATTCAAATAAATCACTGGTCTAAGCATCAATATATCATAAATGCAAAAAAAAACAAACAAACCTAAAAACCCTACCCCAAAAATCTATACTAATTTAAAATACTATTCTCAGTTCTATTAGGTAGGCATAAATATATGGCACACATTACAAAAGGCATTTCAGGTAGTATTAAGTGCACATATAGTAAGAAAATGTAATAGGTGACCTAAAAGTAAAGTACTTTATTTAATAATCTTGTCATTTTAGAATTTTGGATGTTGCTAGGGAAACTGATGGTTCAAGACTTTAAAAAGTTGTTCAAATATTTTAAAACGTTCTTTTGATATATTTTCCTAAAATAAGCAAGGCATTCAGCCACCTCAGTAATTCTAGAGGTTATTTCTTCACAGAAAAATGTTTTCAAAAGAGAGCTGACCTAATATATATGTCTTTTATATCTTCTCAATTTATTCAAAGCTAAAATTGTAAGGACAGAAGCAGACAAAAGGCCATTCTGCCTACTGTTCATTGATCTTGCTGTTATTAAGAGTACTTTTTCACTCATGAGAAAACTGTAAGTCTTCCTGATCACTGGCAAGAATTTTTAAAAAAGCTTAAAAACACTGTATGTTGAGTTGGCCAACAGGAATGAGGATAAACTGATATTGTTTACAGAGCAGGAAGCCCAATATAAAGTCAATCTGAAACGCTACTCTTAAAGGTGATTCTCTATAAAGAAATCTAACTCAGCTAGATGAAATAAATCACACAATTATTTTCCTTTCATTTCTTCTAGGTGTTTTTCTGGAGCTGATTTAATCTATGAGTGTTTAGCAAATAGTGTTAGGTTATCTGGAAGTTTTGAGGAACATCCTGTTTATTAATAAGAGCTAAAGAAAAACCTAATTAAGGGAAGCTGGTCACAGATATCTAGCAGTATGACTGGAAGATACCTAATCCTTTATACTAACACATTATGATGGCTATTTTACCATAGCAATGAGATCCAAAACCCTTCCTAACCAAGTTTATGCAGCACCTAAGAATACTCACTCCAGCCCTTATTTAGCAGGGATATTTTAGGAATTACTGTGGATGAATCCTTGATTTAATGCCCAAGTGAGGGTTTTCTGTGGTCTTTGAAGCACCCTGTCCTTTTGGGCCTGAATTATGCCTGCTGTGCAGTCGTTGCCTCCCCCGGATTAAGGACTCAATGTACCATTGTTCCTGTTGCAGCTGCTGCTTCTGATTTTCTAACCGGCTGTGAGTAGCCTGCAGCTCCTGGCATTGCCAAGTTTGCTGCAGTATTTCCTTTTGTAACCTCTCGCTCTGTCTGCGGATGCCGAGGTGGAAGTCAAAAGTAGACTTCTCTGCTGCGGACTGCAAAGCTTGGGCCTTCCTGTGAAGCGCCTTCCTTTCTTCCTTTCCCAAATGGGTCACGTCTGGCTCCCTCAGTTTTTTCTCCAGTAATGCTTTTTCCTGGAGGAACCGGATCTCCACTTCCTGTTTCTTTGCATCTGTTTCAGCTTGGGCTTTCTTTTTCTCCTCCTGTAATGTCTGTATTCGTCTCTCCTGTTTCTCCCTTACTAGTGAAATGTCCTTCATTGCCTGCAACTGCTGCTCCAAATCGAACTGGATCTTTTCCTTCTGTAAGAACTTGCTTTTAAGCTCTTCAGTTTGTTTCACATATTTGGAGGCTGATTCTTGTTTCCTTCGTTGAATCTCCCCACATTTTTGTAAATAGACTTCCCACAGCTTCTCATATTGCTCTCTACGTGCTTCAGTGTTTTTGGTCAGATATTCCTCAAAGAATTTATTTTCAGCCTGGACGCGTAATTTTTCTGTTAACAGCTGGTGGGTTTCCTTCCTTAGCGGTTCTTGCCGGATTTGAGCTTGTTTTACCAGCATGTTCAGCCTCATAATTTCCACTGTCTTTTCTTTAAGCCACATCGCTGCCTTTGTTAGCCTCTCTGACTTGAAAACATTATTCATTAAACTAAGATACGGTGGAGGGGTAACACTGGAGTCCTCAGCAAACCTGAAGAACAGGTAAGACATTCCCCCATCAGTTCTTAATGAAAATTTAGGAAATAAAAAATGCACAGTTGTACTTTAATTCATACAAGAAAATATTTTTGAGCACCTATTGTGTTCCTGACAGTGCGAGGTACGGGGGCATATAGCTAGGGGTAAAGATAAGGGAATGTAGTTTACATTTTACTATATGAACTCGCTACCACCCTGTGAGGTATTATCTAAATTTTAAAGAGAAAACAGGTTTAGATACTTGGCCACGATTTACACCGCTAGCAAATAGCAGAGCCTGGGTGTGATCCCTAGATCTATGACTTAGTAAACAGCTACAAAGGGACACAAGAACAGACTCCATGGTCGGGAGCAGGGATTTCGCGGCTTTTGCACCACATTTTTAGTTTCCGAGGACGCTTCTGCGGAGGGAAGCGCCTCTTCCAGTACCTACTTGGATTCGCTCCCAACATCTTGCTGTAGTTTAGTGATTCCCACGTAGCTAGTGCTGGGGGCCTGCATCAGACGGAGATCGCGTCCCCGGAGGGGAAGTTTCTCGGTTCTATGCTCAGCGGGTCTCGGCTCTGCCCAGTGCCCCATTCGATCCCTGGCAGGTCCAGCCCTGAGCTGCTTAACCTTCTCGGGGGCGGAAAGAACCCTAGCAGTAGGTCCTTTGGCAGCTCTGTTCCCCGCAGTTTGGGGGTCGAAAGTAAAACGCACTCTCTTTTTCTTACTGCGGAAGCCCTGCCCTCGGGATCCCGTCTCATCTGGTTCCCTGGGGAACCAGAGCTTTGGCTTTCCCAGGCCCAACCCCATGACGCTGAGCGTCTCTATTTCTGTCACCCTCCAGCGGTCATCCCAGAACCTCCACAGCCCCGACATAGTCACTAGTTGGCACCCGAGCCAGGTCGGGAAAGGACCAGGCTCTGACGCCCCTATCGGCCCTCGCTCGCAGCCCGGAAGGTCGTGGTAGGCTCTCTAGCCACGCGACGTCTCAATGGTAGAGTGGGCGGGACCAGGACAAATATGGCGGCGCCCGCAACTGCAGCTGAGCCGCAGGCTTCGGGGGAACTTCGGCCCCCAGTGTGTCTTTTGGTGTTGGGAATGGCGGGATCTGGGAAAACCACCTTTGTACAGGTGACCTGCACAGCGCGAGTGTAGTTGGTGTGCGCGAGAGGTTGTGGTGCGTGGAAGGCCAGGGAGAATGGGAGGGAGGTCTCTGGGGCATTAGAGGGGACCAGCGTGGCTTTGGGGGACTTGCCAGGCAACTCCGGTTTCTTCCTGGGCGAAGACTTCTCGGTTAATTAACGCTTTCTTTTGTGCACCCTCAGTGCATACTTAGCACAACTAACCAGTTGTACTGGAATGGTCTTGGTGATAATATTGCCAACTCCTCGAAGGCAGAAACTTACAAGAAACTGGCGATCTAGTGTTACCATACAGGCTTTCGGTGTAGATTGCAAAAGAATTACGTTATTTCTTGCGTGCCTACCGTATTTCAGATGTGGATGAAGAAGTGCTGTAATAGGCCTAACTGAGATCACAGGGTGATCTGATCATAAATTCCTAACTGGGTAGGGTTTGGTGGGTATCACGCCCCAGGCATAATAAAAGCTTTACCTTTGCCTTAAGCAAGCCCTGTTCATTATTTTTGTGCATCTAGATTAACACACCTTTGAAATCCCTCTTTTTCAAGAGAGCACATAATCTTATTAACTGTCCTGTAGTCCAACCCCCTTCCTTGCTTTCTCCTACCTTCATTTAATCTTCCTTAAGCTACCTTCTTAATTCCAAATCCATAAAAGAAACTGTAACCTCATTCTCAGGAGGATTTGAGATCATGCTTCCTGACAGTTGTCAGTTTGGTTCCAATAAACTTATAAAAATTCTCTGTGGGTTTGGACATTTCTTACCTTGACACAGGCACTGGGAATACAGTGAAAATGAGGTTGGCAAGATTCCTGCTTTCAGGGAACTACTGTTCAATGGGATGA